CCGCCAGGGGGGTCGCGCCCGCCAGGTGGGTTGCGCCCGCCAGGGGGGTTGCGCCCGCCAGGGGGGTTGCACCCGCCAGGGGGGTCGCACCCGCCAGGGGGGTTGCACCCGCCAGGGGGGTCGCACCCGCCATGGGGGTTGCACCCGCCAGGGGGCTTGCGCCCGCCAGGGGGGTCGCGCCCGCCAGGGGGGTCGCGCCCGCCAGGGGGGTTGCACCCGCCAGGGGGGTTGCACCCGCCAGGGGGGTTGCACCCGCCAGGGGGGTTGCACCCGCCAGGGGGGTTGCACCCGCCAGGGGGGTTGCACCCGCCAGGGGGGTTGCACCCGCCAGGGGGGTTGCACCCGCCAGGGGGGTTGCGCCCGCCAGGGGGGTTGCACCCGGCAGGGGGGTCGCGCCCGCCAGGGGGGTTGCACCCGCCAGGGGGGTTGCACCCGCCAGGGGGGTCGCGCCCGCCAGGGGGGTTGCACCCGCCAGGGGGGTTGCACCCGCCAGGGGGTTGCGCCCGCCAGGGGGGTTGCACCCGCCAGGGGGGTTGCGCCCGCCAGGGGGGTTGCACCCGCCAGGGGGGTTGCACCCGCCAGGGGGGTTGCGCCCGCCAGGGGGGTTGCACCCGCCAGGGGGGTCGCGCCCGCCAGGGGGGTCGGCAGGGGGTCGCACCCGCGAGGGGGGTCGAAGTCGCTGTCGCTGTCGCCGCCGCCGCCGCCGCCGTCGCCGCCGCCGTCGCCGTCGCCGTCGCGGGTCGCCAGGGGGGTCGCCAGGGGGGCTGCCAGGAGGGTCGCCAGGGCCCCCCCGGGGCTCCCCCGCGGCCCCCCGACGACGACGGCGACGACGACGACGACGACGACGGACGCTTGCCGACGCCCGCGCCCGCCGACGCCGCCGCCGTCGAGGAGGAGGGGAAGCGGAGGAGGAGGAGGAGGAGGAGGAGGAGGAGGAGGAGGAGGAGAAGGAGGAAGAGGAGGAGGGGTCGCGGGAATCTTCGGGAGGTTCTGGGGTCATCGGGGTCCCGGAGTCCTGGGGGTCATCGGGGTCCTGGGGTCCGGACCAGAGGGGAAAGGGGTTCGGTTCGGTTCCCGTCGGTTCGGTTCAGGGGCCGCCCGGTTCCGGTTCGGTTCCGGTTCTGGTTCGGTTCGGTCCTCGCCGGTTCGGTTCTGAATGAATTCGGTTCGGTCCGGTTCGGTTTTCTACGTTCCTGGTTTTGGACCGGTTCGGTCCGGTTCGGTCACGGTTCCCGGTTCTCGGTTCGGTGCGGTCCCTTCATGCAGTAAAGCTACAACCACAGCTCCCAGTAAAGCTACAACGACAGCTACCGCTACCGCTACAGCTACCACGTCTGCGACCATTACAGCCACCACAACAGCTACCAATCTAGCTCCCAGTGTTGCTACCAGCACAGGAACCCGTACGGCCACCACCGAAGGTGACACTACAGTTCCCAGTAATGCTCGTAGTAAAGCTACCATGGCAGGTACCACTCGTTACCACTACAAGTGCCAGCTCAAGTACCATTACAACTACCACGACAGGTACAAGCTTGGTTACCGTGAAAGCGACCAGTACAGGTACCAGTCCAACTACCGCTACATTTACCACGACAGATACCAACAAGTGGCACGTGTGTGCCCAGGCTCATACAAAAAACTGAAGGGGCGTTTGAAGCAGGAGTGAAATGCAACATCGAAGTCGCACTCGAGCGCAAGTGGGGTTGCCACACCTTGCGATGTGTGTACCAGGGCCCCCCAGGAAGCCTCAGGAGGCCCGACTTGGATACCAGAAGAGGCTCCAGGAGGCCCCAGGATTGTGAGTGTTGTGCGTGCGTGTGTGTGTGTGTGTGTGTGTGTGTGTGATGTATGCTTTGTGTGGTGCGTGCTTTTTGTGTGTTGTAGGTGTTGTGTGTGTGTATTATGTTTGTCTGGCGTGTGATGTGTTGGGCGTGATGTGTGTCTCTGTGTGCATGTAGTTCTGAAGCCCCAGGGAGGCCCCAGGAGGCCCCAGGCGGCCTCAGGAGGCCCCAGGAGACCCCAGGAGGCTTCAGGAGGCCCCAAGAGGCTCCAGGAGGCCGCAGGAGGCCCCAGGAGGCCCCAGGAGGTTTCAGGACACCCCCAGGAGGCTCCGAGGCGGGGTCTGGGGGGCCAGAAGGTTCAGAAAGCCCCAGGAGGCCCCAGGAGGTTCCAGGAGGCCCCCAGGAGGCTCCGAGGCGGGGTCTGGGGCTCGATGTTGGAAGGATTTTTCAAGCGAAACCGCCATTCACTGAGACTCGCGGTCACAATTATTGAAATTACCATGTGTTGTTGAAGGTTTTATGTTAAAATGTTGAATTTCCCATGTGTTTTTGGACCCTGACGTCACGATCTGCGTGAGGGGTGCCACCGATTTTCAGAATTTCGAGGATGTCCCGAGCGAAACGCCCGGAACAATCGCGGACGCGTGCACATTAATCGCCTCTGAGCTCTACTCTCTCGGAGAGGTGCGTATGAGAATTCATATACCACTACATCTTCCACTACAGCGTCCAACACAGCTACCACTATAACTATCACTGCAGCTACCACTACGGATGCCACGCCATCTACGACTGCAGCTATTGTCCCAGCTCGCACCCACTACAACGGCGTATCCCGCAAAAGAAGCGAACATTGTAAAGATGAGTCACGTCTGTGTTGTTGTACCATTACTTCTCCAAGGCAAACCAGAGCGCTTCAATCCCCGGATGAAGTTGCTCAGGGAACTCATGCGCCGCCATTCAGGTGACTCCTGGGAGTCTGGATATAAGATGAGCCTCGGCTATTAACAGTAATATAGCAGATGCTGAAAGATGTGAGGCGTCGGCCACCCAGAAGAGCTCAATCCTCGGACGACTTCGGGGGATTGAACCGCTCAGCCGGGGATTGAACCTTTCCTCGGGGGATTAAACCCATCGCGGGGGGAGGGGGGGGCGCCTCTGTTGCAGTGGAGACCCATGCCAAGAAACACCCCGCTTGCCTCCAGGGCGCCGTGGGGTTTTTGGATGTCCATGGTTTTGTTGTAGAAGGCGTGACGCTCCCGCACCAAAAATCAATGGACGTACTGGGGTCTCAGGGTTGGGTTTCTTGTGGGAGGTTTCTTGTGGTCGGGCTCCT